GTTTTTGTTAAATTATTCTTGCTTAAAGTTATAAAAAAATTTTATTATAAAAAATTTGCTTGATTTCTATTGACTCATCCCCATATATTATATATTTTTTGTTAGATATAAATATCTTGTATTTTTACAAAGAAAAAAAAAATACTATTTATATTTATTACTATGCTTAGATCACGTATACAATCTGATGCACCTCTATTCACACCTGAAGATTATTTATATATTATGCATTGTTGTAATATAAAATCAAAATATAAAATTTTAAATGAGTTGACGGATAAGTATAGAACATCAACAAAACGTATTTATCAGATTTGGAGAGGTGAGAAATCTAGTAGAGTTCTTTGTGATCAACCTATATCTCACTTATATGATGATGATATTGATTCTGATTAAAATACTAATATATCAAATTCTGCTATAAACGTTCTTCATATAGAATCTCAATCTTTAGATAGAGACAAAGTTCCATTACTATGCAGGTTATTAGATGATGAAACAGGTATGAGTCAAAGACTTGAAGCTCAGCTTCCTCAAAGCTCTGTCTCTTCTTCAAATGATAGTATATTACAAAATCCTGTACAGTCAAATAAGTTAGCAAAAATAAAAAGATCTAATTTTGATTAAATATCTAACTTATCTGTTATTGCCAAAGACCCAATAGAAAAAATAGATAGAAAGCCCATATATTCTACAGGTACACTAGCCTCTTTTAGATATGTAGTAGAAGAAGGTAAGAAAAATTTATCAAATTCAAAATATAAAATCGATGAGTTATAAACTCTGAATTTTGTATATTCTACTGCAAAGCAATAGCTCTTTGAGCCTACTCTCTATTTTCTTTACCAGGTAATCCAATATAGTGATAAATAAGAGTATTAAGATTAGTAATAATTTTTGTTGCATCATACATTTTTTTCTTATATCTCTCACAATTTATATATTTTTTTTAAAGTCAAATTGGTAAATCCTAAGCTAAAACCCACAGGAGCATGCCATTTCTCTAATAGTATACTGTCATCCTTATCACTATCTACTTCTTGTGAAATTTGATTAGATACCAAAGGCTTAGATATAATAGTATCCTTGTTATGTGAGCTATCTTGAGTTGTAGTAGCATAATTTACTTCAAGCTTATTCTTCACCTTATGCATAGTTATAGGAAAAATGTGATCCTTTCCATTGTGATGAATCTTTATTTTATCATTATTCCAATCAATAACATATTTATATTTCTTGAGAAGTCAGTTTGAAAATATTAACATTGGCTTGGAATATTTTACGACTACAAAATCCTTATATATAGTACAATCAGGAGTTAGTATTATTGGTAAATTATGAATGATGCCAATAGACTCAATTGAAACAGTAGCAATATCACTAAGGTCATACTTTACAGATCTATCAATTTTTCCATTTATACGCTTAACAATATCTTCTGTTACGATTTTAATTTCAGCCCCACTATCAAGTATCATTGCTAGGATTTTTAAACGCTTAATTTTGCATGGTATAGTCACAATACCTATATCAGGTTCTTTCTGACAAACAAAATCAATTTCCATAGAGTTATCCAAAGTTTCATCTTCATCCGAATTGGATATCTCTGGAGCTAGTTCTTGATAATTATTATCTTAAATATGGTATGATTTTTCATTATTAAAATTGAGCTCCTGCAATAATGAATATAAAATATCTTTAAGTTCACTTTGGATAATTTTACAAATAGTTTGTTCTAAAACTGTTTGCTTACTCCCACCCCTCTTGCAAGACTTAGGTTCCTTATCGATCTTGTAAGATTTGGATACCTTCTTAGATAATGATTTACTCGAACTACTCTTCTGGTTTACTTTTTTTTTGCCCTGGTAATATTAATATTTATACTCTCAGTTTTAGAAGAGGTGTCATCAGAATCAGACCCAGAATCAGAATTATTATCAGAAGAGTCAGAATCTGAATCAGAACCAGAATTATTGATAGCTATTTTAACCTTATCTTTTTTATTCTTGCTAGATCTCTTGGAATTCTTAGATTTTTTTCTAGGACACTTGTGAGAATTGTGTCCAGTTCTATTACAATTTGAACAATGATATTTGAATGATTTAATAATAGCATGAACTTCTGCCTCAAAATCTTTCAACAAAGCCTTATTTATTGATAACTTACCCATATGATCAGACAGTTCTTTATTATGTTGACTTCAATATTTTTCTTTGATTATACTAGCTTTGCCAAAAACATATC